TGAGCAAAGGTGAAGAAGTTAGAGTTGAAATGGGTTGGTCGAAATGATCTTTGGCGTCGGTCTCTTGGAATGACTGGAGTCACTCAATGGCCGGATCTTTGAAAAGGCTACGTCGGTCGGTATCAAGCAACCTGATGGGTAGGGTTGAGCACCGAACGGCTGATGCTGCGTTCGGTCAAGAGTGGACCGGACGCCGTTCGATCGAAAAACATGCCTCGGGAGCTTCTTTGAAAGCGCGGCCGGACACTTTGGGGCTTCGTCGTCGGTCGATTTTGTTTCGGAAGCGTCCGGTCGACTTTCGTGGCCGTTAATCGACGAACAGCGTTTGAAATTTGGTGGCGGCGTGGCGTCCATCGAGGCGACCGGACTGAGGAGCCAGCGTCCGGTCGGTATGACCGGAAGCGTCGATCGAGCGTGTTTGCCCCGATAAAGGGTACAACGGCTCTATTTGATGGGGAGCTCTATTTATAGCCCCATGGCGGCTCAAGGGTAACCTCTTGCACATTTTCATTGACATAGCAACCTTGTGAGCTTAGCCAAAGTTCTCCCCACTCATCTCCATCATTGATCCATCATCATTGTGAGATTGGGAGAGAATCCAAGTGCATTGCTTGAGTGATTGTATCTAGAGGCACTTGGTATTAGATGTTCTTGTTGTGGATTTAAGCTTGTTTCTCTTGGTGGTTGCCACCACCTGAGCCAGTTGGAGCAGCGGTGAAGGATCGAAAGCGAGTTGGTGATTGTTAATTGGCCGCTTTGGTGATTGTGAGGGGAGTTGTACCTTCCCGACGGAGTCTGCGAAATGTAACTCTAGTAAATTGCTCGTGTTATTGAGTTTACCTCACTTGTGGGTCGGTTCTTACGGGTGTCCTATCGTGTGGGCGAGGTTTGTGAAACACCTCTTAGCCGCCCGAACCACCAAGTGTTGAGTCGACCTAGCGGGGATTAGCGTGTTGGCAAGCCACGTGAACCTCGGGAGAAAAATCGGTTGTCTCTTGTCATTTGCATTCTCCGGTGATTGGCTCAATCATCATCTTGTGATTGGTTCACTCCACGACCCGACGGTATAATCGTATCACTTACTCATTTACATTTCCATAAACTAGATATAGCAAGCTCTTTAGTGTAACTAGAATTGAGAGCTTGCATGGTTAGCTAATCATATCTAGTGGAGCTCTTTAGTGTAGCATTTGTGAGAGCTCTTAGTGAGTAGTAGTCAAGTAGATTGTGTGCCAATTGATCATTGCAACTAGAATTGTTGGACGGTGGCTTGCAAACCCTTGTAGAGCTAGAAACAAGTTTGCATTTAAGCTATTTGTCTTACTAATCAAATTGCTCTAGTTGATTTGTAGTTTTTAAATAGGCTATTCACCCCCCTCTAGCCATATTAGGACCTTTCACTACTGTCGCTGCACCGACAGTGCAAGACACTATGGTGCCAGCACCTGTTGTTATCCCACCTGTGGCAACAATGAATGACGATGAGGAACCTGCTCTTCAGGATCCTATAGAACCTATTGCCACACATGAGGGGGAGCAACAACAGCCTCAAACAGAACATGTGCCAAATGTGAAGGACCCTAGAAGGTCTCAAAGAGTTAGAAAATCAGCTATTCCTGCTGATTATGAAGTGTACAACACTGAGGAATTTCAAATCAAGGATGATCCCACCTTATTTGAAGAAGCCATGAGAAGTGATCATTCATCAAAGTGGCTTGAGGCCATGGAAGATGAAATAAAATCAATGAATGCAAATAAAGTTTAGGATTTAGAAATAATTCCTAAAGGAGCTAAAACAGTAGACTGTAAATGGGTCTACAGAATAAAACTTGACTCTCAAGGGAATATAGAGAGATATAAAGCGCGACTTGTGGCAAAAGGTTTTATGCAAAGAGAAGGGATTGATTACAATGAGACCTTTTCTCCAATCTCATGTAAAGTTTCCTTCAGAATCATAATGGCATTAGTGGCACATTGTGATTTAGAATTACATCAGATGGATGCAAATACAACATTCCTCAACAGGGACTTGGAGGAAAATGTTTACATGGCACAACCAGAAAGGTTTCGTCATGGAAGGAAAAGAAACGAATGGGATACGCATAAAAGAAATCCATTTATGGATTAAAACAAGCTTCAAGGCAGGTGGTACTTGAAGTTTGATTAGCAAATAAAAAATTTTGGGTTTAAAAGAGAACATAGAGGACAATTGTGTCTATATAAAGTTTAAGAATGGGAAGTTTATCTTCCTTGTCACAATATGTGGATGATATATTACTTGCTAGTAATGATGTCGGGTCTACTACGAGGAGACAAATAAGTTTTGTCCTTAAAACTTGATATGAAAGATCTTGGTGAAGTCTCGTTCGTTCTAAGGATCGAGATTCACCAAGATAGAAAAAAGGGTATTAGGACTGTCACAAAGGGCATACATAGAAAGAATCTTAAAGAAATTAAGTATGCACAAATGTAGTCTCTCACTGCTCCTATAGTCAAAGGCGACAAATATGAGGATTTTCAATGCTCCGAGGAACCAATATGTGCCCAATCAAATGAAAATGGTTCCATATGCTTGGTTGTCGAAAGCTTGCAACATGCTCAAGTATGTATGCGGCATACGACTTGGCATTTATTCTGCGGGTTTTACTTGGCGATTCGAGGTAATTGCGGAATAGAACAACTTTGAAATTGATAAAGAAAGTCTTGCGTTATTTGCAAGGAGCGAAAGGCCTCATGATCACATATAGAAGATCGATTCACTCCACATAGTGGGATATTCAGATTACGATTATCTGAGAGATGATAGAAAATTAAGAAAGGATATGAATTCACTCTACGCAAAGGAGAGCTATTTCATGGAAAAGCTCAAAGCAAACCGTCACTATATAAATCCCACAATGTATGGCAGTTTGTGGCGTGTTATGAGACAACGGGCGGTGAAGCCCGACTAAAGAAGTTCATACCGGTTTGAAGGTGGTTGACGACATCTATAAACACTTAAGTTATCTGCGATGATAATTCAGCGATGCGGTATACTCACAACATAAGTCAAGTGGTGCTTTGCCAAACATATTGACATAGAGTATTATGTTGTGAAAGATAAAGTCAGGGATCAAGTCATAAGTCTTGAGCATATAAGTCTGAGAAAAAGATGCTCATGGATCCGCTTACAAAAGGCTTACCACCCAGCGTGTTAGGAGAACATGTAGCTAGCATGGGTTTAAAGGGAAAGCCTAAAATTTTTGGACAAAGAGAAGACCCAAAGATAAGTATCTATTTCGAGAATAGAGTAGTGTGTTGTATTTGTTAAATCTATCGACAATGGGACCGTGACGATGAGACATGCTCTATGCGCTAATCTGTAATAGAGTAAACAAAAAGTAAATGATATGAAATTGAAAGATGATAGTGAGATCAAGGGGAAGAATGTTAGTTGATCTCCACCAATAGGCCCAGCGGCATATTGGGGCCTTGTCTTTGCTCCACGATCGGGGAGCCCAACCTCACATTTGGTGGGCCCATGTCATACGGCACATATAAAAGGTAAGGTGAGGATCGGGGCTCGGCCTCGAGGTTCAGCGGAGCCGCTTATCCCACCCACAAGAAACCTAAACCGATCAAAGTAGTCTTTGCCCGGTGACGGAAGCCCATCAACCTCACCGTCGCCACTTTACTGCATCGCTTCTTTGGACTTCATCTTCATCATACGAGGCGCCTACTACACCACGGCACCCGGCGTCCCGAGGCTACTGATCAAGGTGTGCGAGAGGAACCCAAAGGTCTACACCTGTTCTCTGATTACGAGAGAGGTAATCTCTGATCCTAACATAATGCAGTGCCCGACATAGCCGTGGCAGCGGCCGGGTGTGCTCTGCCCGCGACTGGCGATCTGGAGAATATCTCCTCGAGGCTAAGCGCTTTTCGGTCATGGCCGCTGGCCGAGGCGGGAGAGTACGTGAAGAAAAGGCGACTAGATGTGCGGGCCGCCGATGAGCTTGCGGAGGGCGAGACACGTCGTCGTGCATGTGATCCGGACCTCTTTCCCAGCGAGCACCGGTTCGCGATCGGCGAGAGATCGTTCTCGACCTCTTGATTGGGTCAACGTCTTGGGGCCCTGCCCCACTTGGCAAAAGTATTCCTCCACCTCGCCCACTATGAGGCGAGCATGGTTCCCCAGAGCTTGGTCGGCCTCGAGTGTTAGTGAAGAACACTGCTTCGCCCGTGTACTGCGGCGGCCGGTTAACCTGGCCTTCGCGAGGAAAGCGGCGGCGCTTGCTTTCGCGTGGCGGCGGCGGCCTTCGCCTCTGCTGCCAGCGGCCGGCATTACAACCCTCTTACTGCGCCGCAGTGATTTGCTTTCGGCGGCCGTGTGGCCACGATGGCGGCGGCGGCTCGCCGCCCGCGCCCAGCTACTGACGGCCTTTTACTTTCGCCGCCCAGCGTTCGCTGGGCGTGCATGTACTGTCTTCCAAACGTGTGAGGGTTTTAGAAGTTGGCATGGCCCCATAGTGTCCAGGTATCGCTTTGTGGCATCGCCACGTCCGGACGTTAAGCGCCCGACATGGTAGAGTTTTGGATCTTTGATGCGTGCGAGAGATCTAGATAGTCGGTTTTTAGTTTGAGGACCTAGATGAAAATGTCGCAAAAGTTTAAGGACTTGACGTGTATTTTACTCATTGCGCGTTGATTGCGTCTGGAACTGAAGTCCACGCCTTGGCCAGATCGAGATCAAGACATTGCTTGAACTGCTTATCGATCATCGTACAGTATTTTTCTGTTAAAATAGCATCAACCAAGCTTGTCTCCGCATAAACCATCTGAAGACGTACAATCGTGCCTGCGTTCCAGTTTCAGTGTTCCATCAGTCCACCCACCCGTTCATCGAGTGACAAGTTCCCATCCCCGACTGCTTTACCACCACCACCATCGGAAAGCACAGCACAGCCGAGCCAACCAACGGGCGTGCCCACTGCGCGGCGCCGTTGGGGTCGGCGGGCGCCATGGGGGCGCCGAGCAGCCGCGCGCTGGCGCTGGGCGCGGCCTTCCTGCTGCTCCTCGTCGCGCTGCCCTCGGCCTTCCTCTACCTCACCTCCTCCGCGGCGCCCGCAATACCCGCGCCACCCTCCTCAACCTCAAGCCCTTCTCCGCCAGGTGCGCGCCCGCCGCCGCCGCGCCGCTCCGCGTCTTCATGTACGACCTGCCCGCTCTCTTCCACGTAGCCATGATGGGGGCCGACGCCGGCGCCGGCGGCGCGGGTTTCCCCGCGTGGCCGCCGTCCGCGGGCGGGATCAGGCGCCAGCACAGCGTGGAGTACTGGATGATGGCGTCGCTCCAGGACGCGGGCGCGGGGCCGGAGGGGGGAAGGGAGGTCGTCAGGGTGCGGGATCCTGACGCCGCCGATGCCTTCTTCGTGCCCTTCTTCTCCTCGCTCAGCTTCAACGTGCACGGCCGCAACATGACCGACCCCGACACCGAGGCCGACCGCCTCCTGCAGGTGCCGCCATTAATCACATTCACATACAGAGAATTTTTTAGATACTACAGTAGCTCTGTACAAATTGTTACTCCTACAGTCCTACTTATTATTATTATTTTCTGTTGGCTCATTGGTGGTTGATAATTCTGCGTTGTCATGGGACCTACGATTGATTACCATTTAATTAGGCTCAGATTGAGACAGCTCTGTACAAATTGCTACTCTAAAATTAAGAAGCAGCCAAAATTACCCAGTGAAAGCTGCACTAATACACCCACTAGAACAGCCACAACATTACCAAAAATCATTGAGCCATTGAACACAGACAAGCACATCAAAGATATTTCGCAGAGGAACAAACTGTTGCTATTTTGACAATTCTCTCGCCAGTTGGTGTTCTGTTACCATCAACCATGCTATCAAAAACATACTTCTTTTCAAATTCTGAATCTCTCTGATAGGTCGGCAAATGTCCCCTTTCCTCGTTGATACAATGTGGCATCTTTTATGTCACTGTATGTTTTAACTCTCTAGTTCTGGACTGTTGGGACTTAGTTACTGTGACCTGTTTCTTAGTTTAGAATTTCTGTGATTAAACCTTGGTCACTGCTAAGGATATTTCTGAAGAACTGAAATCAATTAAGATGGGAAATGGTGCATTTGCTTATTCTGCTAAGGTTGACAGGATTTGCACATATGGTTAAATCTGTAGGAGAAATTCTTGATTGTAGATGGTATGGTGCTTCCCTTATATGTTAAGGCCAGTGAATGTAGCTCCTTGTGGGCAGCAATGCCCTGAAGCTAGCTTGATGTGCATGACAACTAGCAACCTCTCACGGACTTATAGGTGCCAATGTGCTATGATGGTGTTTTCAAGGAGTTATCTGAGGATAATAGAACAGGCAGTAGCTAAGAGTTCTACGGTTCAACATCTCTGAGAACAGGACACTGTTTAATCCATGCCCTGGTGTCCTTCTGATCTCTTTGATAATGCAATTTGTGCTTGAGGCAAAGAAAATTTATTCCAAGAAGATACCACTACTTTCTTGTCACCTAATTTTTACTTTAGCCATCTCACTATGCCAAGTTTGTTTAGCCAACACATAACACTAGGCATGTATGGTAAGAAATAAAATAAAAGTAGTCTGCTACTCCTCTAGAGTTTATTAGTTAATCAGGATTTGCAATCCATTTTAACATTAGGAAAATATTTTTCATGTAAATAATCTAACTGTCTTTTTATCTTGCTATTGTTTTCTTGCAGGTTGAACTTGTGGACATTCTATGGAAGTCTAAATATTGGCAATGGTCTGCGGGCCGTGACCATGTCATTCCTATGCATCACCCTAATGCTTTCAGATTCCTCTGCGAGCAATGGTGAATGCATCTATTCTTATAGTTTCAGACTTTGGGAGATACACAAAGGCTGGCTTCCCTGAGGAAAGATGTTGTGGCACCATATGTGCATGTTGTGGATTCCTTCCTTGATGATGATCCACCTGATCCATTTGAGGCTCGTCATACACTGCTTTTCTTTCGAGGCCGTACTGTCAGGAAAGATGTATGGAACTGATTTATGATTGTAATAACAACCTCTGCCCTTTCTCTGTGGTCTGTCTTAATTTACCAGTTTAGTTCACTCTTTTTTTTTTCTCCGTTGTGGAATCTGACTAGGCATTAAAGAACTTTAAGGTTAAAGTTGTTTATAGCATTCATTTTATTTTTCAGGAAGGGAAGATCCGGGCAAAACTTGGGAAGATATTAAAAGGCAAGGAAGGGTGCGCTTTGAGAATAGCATTGCCACAGGCGGCATGTGCATTAAAATAGTAAGTCAATTTTCTCATTTTGTACTCTCCTTTCCTTAGTGATATTAACATTTTTCTATTAAGGCTTCTTTATATGAGAGCATGAAATTTACAAATCTGTTTGATCCTAACAGTCTACAGAAGGTATCGCGATCGTCAAAGTTTTGTCTTCACCCTGCTGGGGACACTCCTTCCTCATGCCGCCTGTTTGATGCCATAGTCAGTCATTGTGTTCCTGTGATAGTCAGCAGTCGCATTGAGCTCCCTTTGAAGATGAGATTGATTACAGTGAGTTCTCCCTTTTCTTCTCGGTTGAAGAAGCTCTAAGACCTGATTACTTGTTGAACCAGCTCAGACAGATCCCCAAAAAGAAGTGGGTTGATATGTGGTCAAAGCTTAAAAATGTCTCTCATCATTATGAATTCCAGTATCCCCCCAGGAAGGGTGATGCTGTGAACATGATATGGAGGCAGGTGAGGCACAAAATCCCTGCAGTTAACCTTGCTATTCACAGGAATAGAAGACTCAAAATTCCAGACTGGTGGGGATAATAATTGGTGAGTAGTGTACATATTACCACATCCACTGTTAGACCTGGTTATTTTCTGTGGGTTATGGAAACAACGCTCATTGAAGGGCGGGGCCTGGTGCAAGCGGTGAGAGTCTTACCGTCTGTGACGGAAGGTCCCGGGTTAGTCATGATCTCCTCGCATTGCACAGGCCGAGGTAAGGTTTACCGCTGACACCTTCCCCGGACCCCTTGCAGGCGGGGGAGCTCTACTGCCTTTGAGTGCGTCCTTTTTTATGGAAACAACGCTCATCGTCCATTGTGAACCAACTGCTCATCTTAAGATCCAAGGACTGAGTCCACAACTATTTGCTGACAGGAACTGACATTATCACCCTTTTTGGTTCATTTTGTGACGACTTCCTATTTTTCACTGATGCTACAAAATAGGGGACAAATAAACTTACTGTAATATTATAGAGGAGACATACCTGACAAATAGGATCTGTAGCTTCTTTGTGCTCACACACTGGAAGTTTAAATACATTCAGTATATTTCTGGTGTTGGTGAATGCAGGTCCTCTCTGTGTTTGCTACTTTGAATCTGTTGACTTGAATAACGGAGGTTTCAATATGGTTGGTGTCTATTTCAGTATATGCTGTCTTGTAGCGTGATCGCGCTACTAAAATTCACCTTGGTTGGAACTTGCTGTGAACTCTGGTGGAACCTTCTTTTGGTTTGTAGGGTCCTGCATTAGTCGTCAAACAAACACGACCAAGCATCAGATGTGAATGAATCTAGGTCATCCTGTTTTTTAGTTTAGACGTGGAAATGAAGTTGCTGAAAAGATTGGATGAAAGGAACTTTCTGTGGGATCATCATTGTTCGCCTGTTTTTATATAGGCGTGCCTTTTATATACCGTTGACTTGGTACTTGGTAGTACATGCCTGATGGGGAGTATAATATGTCTTTTGTGCTCAAGTTGCGACTTTTCAATGACTTTTCCCGGAGCTAATTCGCATTTCAGCAGTTGATTAAACCTACAAGAGGCATCGCGCATCGGCACCCTGCATATGGTTGCTTGTAGCTCCATTGGTCCAAGTTCCATGTCCTATGGATTAACAAAGGATAATCAGCAGGGCAAAGCACCAGGAGTTGAGAACCATGACATGTATAGAACCGCCTACTTCAACTTTACAGACTCGCTTCACGATCACTAAGATTAGCTGTAAAGCAGCCTCTTGGTTCCAACAAAGCGCTGACTGTTGCCTGCCTGGTTGACCATCAGGATTAGAGTTAGTAGGAAAGGTGAACAGAAAATGCAGAGCGTTGCTGCCGATGTGAACTAGAGGAGGTGCACATGCAGTGATCCACGCAGCACCTATGACACTAAACTTTGACACTCCCCAGGATTACCGTAGAGATGATGATGATGATGCAATCACAGGAGAGCCAAGCAGAGCAGGACAGCAGAGCAACCATTCTTTTTTGTCGATGCTTGGTTTACCAAAGCTAGCGGTGGTTGGTTGGAGCTTGATATAGAAGTGGAACTATGGGAGGATGTATATATAATATATAATGGGTTAAGCCATGCCACGGTGTATCAGAAGGACAAGCGAACAACACGAGCACGAGGCCATGTGCCTGCAGCCTGCAGGCTGAAAACTTTAGTTTAGTGCAACAAAACAGCTAGACAAAGATAATGACGTTACCTAGTTGGCCATTAGGGTGAGGGACTAGGATATCCTCCTGCATCCTCTAGCCGTCCAGTACAGGTTGCTTCATGTACCGGATGAGCATGTTCCATTTAAGCGAGATAATTTGTCGCTTCATAAACCATTGGTCCCCGATGGGTCGCAGCTTCGATAAAAACGCTTTCGTGACAGTAGACGGCATTACGATGACGACCAACGCGATTCACAGGCAGGCGGTGGAATACCTAACGACGAGAATAGGAAGAAGCTGATCCAATCTTAAATAGGAAGGCATGGCTAAGGAGAGTTGGCGGCTAAGCAAACTTGACCGCTTTTCCAATAGGAATACATCGAACCTCAGCTTCGGCTCTTCTCCGTGGAAGCAGCGGTCGAACTTATTAGAACAACCGTTGAGGGGCCCCGCTCGTAAGGACCTAAGAATCGGGTGGAGCAGATAAGGCAAAGGCGCTCAAGTGAAAGTACTTGTCTGAGACAATGCCCGCACACTTTTTGCAGAGTTGATCTTGGCAGAACCATGCGAGAAGGGTGCTGGCAGCTGCTTCGGATATGTTAGAACACGAACAATGTTGTGGGCATCGACATTTGTCCCTACGGTATGGTAGGCGCTGATATTTGTCATACAGGAAGATACGTAGGAGCACGCCACATGCATCGGCGTTATGATCTTGTGGTAGCCAAACAAGCACATCTTGTCACCCGTGGCGTGAGCAGCAAGACAAAACACACACTTTCTCTCTCTCTCCCTAACTTGTAAGGCCCTTCACCTATAAAATGGGATGCCTCTCTCTTAAAGGCCGGTCATTTTTCGACTCTCTCTCTACTAAGCTTTAGACATTTTGAGCACTTTCGAGCAGCTCCACGCTCTAAAACTAAAAGCTACAGGCATACGTTCCAATACTTAGCATACCTTTGAAGCTCCCTCCTCTTTGGCCTTGGTTTGGAACCTGACCGGACCTTTAACACCTCTTCTCATTCCCTTTCGTTTGTAACCTTATTGTAAACTTGAGCACTGGTCTCGTGAATAAAGTCACCAAATGACTAAAAGCGGGCGGAAGGCACGTTATGCGAACTAATATAAATAGTGTCATTAAGTGTTAAGCCATATCCGATCACAACGTCGTAAAACCATAAATATTTATTATTGATTACTTTTCGCAACACAGTTACTCCCACAAATGGCCAACAAGGTCGCCAATGCAGGCACATTGTTGAAAGCGTTGGGCAATGTCGACGAAATTCCTTTTTCTTATTATTATTGCACAGACAGGAGCTTTGGTGTTCTCGTAGGTGCGTTTGTCCATTTCAGTCCGACACGGCTCTACACTACTAACCAAGCACAAGCACTAGGGACCAAACTTGGATTTGCGATGGCATCAAGGAAAGCAACAGTCGTAAGACAGCACGTTTTCATTCCCGAAAGACCACATGAGCATGTATCTTATCGTAGTAATCGTGCGCTCCAACTAGTCTTTCCCTTTGCTTTGCAAGTGCTATCTCTGTCAAAAAGAAAAACTTTGACGTTTCAGAACTTTTGGATTAGATCAAAATGATCATGGATGCCTCTATTAATTAGGGGCTAGTTCTGACTTTCAATGGTTGCGGATGCTAACGGTTCCACGAGAGAAGGGTTAATTTAGTAGTACATGGTTTCACTAATCTCTCTCTCCGTCCCAAAATAAATACACATATCGCCTTTGAGTCATCACCACATATATAAAAGAATACTAA